AGCGGACGACCATTCTGCAGGCTGAGAACGAACATCACCCGGGTGGGCCTGTCGATTCTCTGGCGCTTCTCCCTCAGCGCAGTGAAACTGGCGCTGACGGAGGCGGCGAGCACGTCGGATTTGTCCTTCGCCTGCATGAGTTCGCCGACGAGATGGATGCGGTCGATGACCGCTTGCTCGCCCGAGGCCTCCGGCGCCTTCACGATGCGCACGCCCGCCTGTTCGACCAGCGCAAGGGCTGATGGCGGCCCCGCTCCCTCCTGCACCAACAGCACATCCGGCTGCAGGGACAGGATTCCTTCGGGGCTGAGCTGGCGCACATAGCCGATCTGCGCCTTCTCCTTCAGGGCCGATGCTGGAAAGGTGCTGGTGGTGTCGACACCCACGACGCGGTCGGCAAGCCCCAGGGCATAGAGGATTTCGGTGAGCGCGCCGCCAGCGGCGACGACCCGCTTCGGCGCTTCGGCCGCGTGGGCGACGTCAGTCCCAAGGCCGCAAACACCAGAGGCGCAAACACCAGGGGTGATGACGGCGCCGAGGGCGACGACGCCAGCGAGGGCGGCGCGCATCGCCGCGCGGCGGAGGCAACCAGAGTTCGTGAAGGCGAGGTTCAGTCGCAGGGTGCGGGTCATCGCGGAATCCCGTTGGGCTCACGACATAAAATGGAGCTTGCCTTTCCATACAGAAAACCTGCGCACAGTGACAATTAATCTTTGCGCAGTTGATGGTCTGGCGACGCCGCAATCGCGCGCTACGCACCCTGCGATGAATGGTTTTGTATTAAAAAGTATTGCTAAAACAATATTTTAAACTAATTTCCGTCGCGCCCCCTGTGGGCTGATGCAAGCTCCGGGGCCTTGTCGGGTTCCGTGTGAATACAGACGAAAAACGACGCATTTTTTAGATTGGTTCTCAGGTAGCGCCCTGTTTGAAGTTAAAATGATTCAAAACAGGGGTTTCTGTTTATAGTTGTTAAAAGGACTGTCCAATATTACGATTGACTCAGGTTTTGCTTGCTCCTAGGAGGCAGGCCTCGCCGAAGCAGCGCGGAGGCGTCGGACCCACTGGCCTGCGTCGCCGACGCAGCCAGGACCCATCCCGCGCGTCGGCGCTTCGGCGCGGGAGTTGACGCTCCGCGACCGTATTGCCCCCGTTGTGCTATTCTTGGCCTTGGGGGTGGTGATTGTACACGACACTGGCGTCGCCGACTGGCGCGACGCCCGCGGCGACTAGGAGACGACGATGTACATCGGTATGAACCGCTTCAAGGTGCGCAAGGATCGCGCCCAGGATTTCGAGCAGGTCTGGCTAAACCGTGAATCCTATCTGCACGAACTGGATGGCTTCATTGAGTTCCGCATGCTGCGGGGCGCCGAAAAAGACGACCACATCCTTTACGCCTCGTACACGCTGTGGGCCTCGAAGGCGCATTTCGACGGCTGGACACAGTCCGAGCAGTTCAAGAAGTCGCACCAGCGCGCCGCTACGCCGCAGGCCAATGGTCCGATGACCACCGGTCATCCGGAGTTTGAAGGCTTCGAAGTGTTCCAGAGCAAGCCGGGCCGCAAGGCGGCCGAATAAGCCGGACAGAGGTGGCGCGGCGCACGCAGTTAAGAGCGCAAGCCGCGCCGGCCGGACAGCGCTGTGCGGCGCACCCGTCAGGGGCGACGGCGCTTGACACGTCCGCCGCTCTGTCCGCCTGGATCCCTCTGAGGAAGGGCGCGGCGTCAGCCAAATGGGCCGATGACCCCCCCCCTGGTTCACGCGCCGCGGCGCGCTCTGGCCACGGGCCGGGCGGGCGATGAGCACTACTGCCGCTGCGAACCGCTGCCGCGCTTCCCGCAAGCCATCGTTCGTGATGGCGGCTCCTCGTAGCTGACGCAAGCCTGTCATTGTCACTGAACGGCGGACAGCGAACCAGTGAGCCTCGCGGCCAATGTCTCAGCCGGCATTGTCCCGGCCGTCATTATCCTGCGCGTCCATTCATGGCGTCGTCATGCTGCTGGCCAGGATGCCTGACGCCAGAACCTGATGCGCATGTGCGATCAGGCTCAGGTCAAGCCGGAGCAGCGCTTGAGCTGTGCAGGCTGCGGCTGTGTCAGCATCATCGCAACCTTGGCGTCAATTGT